CTGAGGATCCCCCCTCCATCCGATTCCACACTTATCCGTGAAAATAGCGACTAATATGCAACTTTCACCTTTTTCGATGGCTCGCCGTGTGGCCCATACCNCTTTTCATCAAAGAGGCGACGGGTTCTTCTGAGATATTGGATGAAGCTATTTTTCTTTTGCAACGGACATTCCATCGTTTATGGTTTCATTTACGGTGGGAAAATGAACAAAAAGAGATTTGGTGGCGTCTTGCGGTTGATGGGGTGCCTATGTTAGGAAATTCCCATCTTAGGATGTCGCGCCCAACGATATGTGGTTGTGGAGGTTATCCAATAGGTTCAGTGGGAGGTGTATCCCCTCGCTATCATCATTTCTGGGCCTGTCCGGTGGCACAGGCAATAGCAGACCAACTTACTCTTTCAATAGGATTGCCAGTCTCAAGGGAGCAACTTTGGCTTATCCAAGCCCCACAATCAGTGCAACAATGTGTTTGGGATGTTGTGGCTCTTGCTGCGGTGTCAGCCATGGAGCATGGGAGACGTTATATGGCTGCAAACATGAAAACCAACCCGGCACTGTTACCTGGTCCTTCCCTTACGGAAGAAGCAATTTGTCGAGTTATTGTTGATTTTTGGGGCCGCATTCAGGGTTTCGCAGCTTTAGGAATTCCACGAAAAGGTTGGGAATCCGTTGGCGCACATCACCCCTTTTTGAGGATTATATCTGGCAAATTGATTTGTTCGCGAGAGCGGTTACCGATGAGAGGTTAATTATCTGAGATGATAATCTTTTGGTATATTAGTCTCTACTGCAGTGCACGGCCAGCTGGCCCGATGGCTCTACTCTTCGGGAGTCTGGAGCCCACTGTAACAACCACACACAGTTACGAGGACAGTCTCCTTCCCGCTGCTCCTACCTCGTTACATATACATATGGAACACAGCATAAAACGTTTTTTGATATTAATATATTAAATTAATATGAAGCTTATCGCCTCTAGACATCAAAATGAGAACGGAGGGTAGCCGTCAACTCGTAGCCGTCTAAGCCGTGAGGCTGAAGTCTCTGCTCCAGCCCACAGACAAATTGGGCAGTAATCAAATGGGTCAAATTCGGACGGACTTCTGTCTTTGAGAGATAGCATACTTTGTACGTCCTGATCAGGCAGCGGTCTGAAGTACAATGGAATCTTTACCGTTAGTTTTGGTATTATTATAGAAGTGATGAGATAGGTTAATTAGCATCAAGAATCCCTTTGCTCCCAATGCCTGCCTGCCTCTGTCCGGCCGGCAGTTTTGGAGGCTGCTGCCGGATAAAAATTAAATATAATTAAAGTATAATAAATATGAGTTTAGCATGACCTCCCCTTGTGATTGACAGCAATCGCTTGAACCCCTTGGGTGCGTTACCTAGCCGATCGATGTTCTATGCAAGCAAGGCCTGATCGGTTGGCGTGTGATAAACTGTAGTATAGTAGGTTTCGCGCACCGAGCAAGGTTTTCCGGGCTGAAAAAATGCTTCTACGCGTACGTAGTGCACCGTTTAGCCATAATGCATTAGCAAGTAGCTAGCACATAATTACAACTGGCATGTGCGCACCTTCCAGCGACTAGCAGCAGCTGTTAGGTATGCCTCGCTCTTTACAATAGCTATTCTGTTAGTGTTGTTGTTGATTAGTTGCATGGCCTTCCATGCATGTGTATATGTGTGTGTGTTACATGGTTGGGGGTGCGTGACCCCATACCTGTAAGACTACCTATACGAGCCGAAGGCCCAAGGTGTATATGCATGCACATGGGGTTATACATACGTGTAAAGTGGGAGAACGCTCGCAGCCAAGCGCGATGTATAATATAATCTAATCATGCCCGCCTGCTGCTGGCCTGTGATGCGGCCTGTGCTCCCTATATCTCCTACATGACGGCGCTGGCCCCCTTGTGCGGCGCACCATGCCCTCACGCCTTTCCCTCTTTCTTATTACACACAACTGTATGTATGTTATTACAGGGTGGTTAACTTCGCCAGCGGCCCCCTTTCCCGGGGCAGTCCCTGCTCTCCCCTGCTAGAGGGGCACCCTAATCCGTCACCCCATCCGACTTCAGAATGTATTCGTTGGGTTCGGCAACTCACCACCAGCATCCAACCAAATCTAGCGGATCAACGGCGCATCAACTTAGTTCCTGGTCAGCTCGCAAGTTGATATTATCACGTCCTACACCGTCCATATGATGGGGGGCCACCTCCCATTTCATCACTCCTCAAATACCCGAGGAGCTGGCAGGCGGATTTGAACCCGGGTCGACTGGATCGACTGGGAGCAGAAGTCAGGCCTTAACTTCTGCCAGCCGCCTGCCTAGTATAGAGGGATAGAAGGCGTATGTATAGAGGGATAGAAGGCGTAAGGCATGGCTCTGGCCGAAGCATCAATCATGGCCACCCACGACTGCTATTCCGTTGGATCCTTCCTACAGATGTACCGTTATCTACCGTTATCTACCGTCAGGATCCACCATGCCAGTGGTGTGATTCAACATGGTTCAACATTGAACCATGAAAAGGAACATTACGCAAAAAGGCTAATCTTCTGCATAAGGTGATAAAGCTGTTTTGCCTGCGATGTGTACGAAAACCAGGCACAAAACGGATCAGCCAATCAGTAGCGTAAGATCCTATAAGATTTAGACGTGCAACCGCCCACTTATCCTGTCATTTCTGAGTAAGTGAACATTTAGCCCGACTTCTGTTTTGTTGTGTTTGGATTTCGGCAACGCACGTTTATTGCTTGAGTATAAGAAACGGCCTAGCTGCCTCGTTTATCCTTTTGATGAGGCATTTTTAAAGATTTAACCCATACTTAGCGATCCATCTCCCTTTCGTTGGCATCCGAGCTCAGATGATCCGTCTTGCGGGCCTCTGAAACCGTCGCTTCGGCTGCTGCGCCCCTCATTTCCCAGCCATAGAGGGCTGCAACGGCGCCCTCATCCTACTGGTCAGCCATCCGCTAACCTTAGCAGGAATCGGACCATTCCTAATTCCGTATCCAGAGTGGTGGTCATATCCACATCCAGATCCCGAGGGACGGGGTATGATACTGATCCCGTTGTGGTATCCCTAGGCCTATTCCTAATTCCCTAGCCTCATGCGGTGTGCAATAAATACGCGCAGAGCGCGACCACCAGCAACTCGAGAGACCTTTTCAGTGGTCAGCTGCTACATGCGGCCAGGCGGTTCTGTATCTTAATCCTGTGGCCTGTGCTGTAACTCCATTCCTCTTATCCCGGTCCCAATCCTCCCAATCTTGTTGGCTGTGTCCTTATCCGTATCGTGGAGCTGTATCACAATCGCACGACGTGTGACTTTCCAGTCCAGTAATCTGAATCCTGTGGCTGGGGTCTCGCAACCATAACCACGGAATCGTAAACTGCCGTACAGACACGTCAGGAGAGCTGTGATGGCAACACATGCACACATCAAAAAACGCAATTTAGCGTTACAGCAAAATTGGTGTGTGTGGTTGTTACAGTGGGCTCCAGACTCCCGAAGAGTAGAGCCATCGGGCCAGCTGGCCGTGCACTGCAGTAGAGACTAATATACAAATTGGTGACTTAAGGCTTGCGGGTTAAGGATAGATTCTCTAAAAGGTTATAGAATGAATTTCCCCGTCGTCGTCCACTAGTACTGGCCCAGTGCAGCTGCCACATCCCCGCAGGCAATTGGGTCACCCGCAACTCGAGCTTGCGCTAGGGGGGCCTGTGACGATTTAGTTCCCAGTCTCTGGTTTAGGTGCAGACAGTGGCCTGTCGGTCCCAGTCTCTGGTTTAGGTGCGGACAGTGGCCTGTCGGTCCCAGTCTCTGGTTTAGGTGCAGACAGTGGCCTGTCGGTCCCAGTCTCTGGTTTAGGTGCGGACAGTGGCCTGTCGGTCCCAGTCTCTGGTTTAGGTGCGGACAGTGGCCTGTCGGTCCCAGTCTCTGGTTTAGGTGCGGACAGTGGCCTGTCGGTCCCAGTCTCTGGTTTAGGTGCGGACAGTGGCCTGTCGGTCCCAGTCTCTGGTTTAGGTGCGGACAGTGGCCTGTCGGTCCCAGTCTCTGGTTTAGGTGGGGACAGTGGCCTGTCGGTCCCAGTCTCTGGTTTAGGTGCAGACAGTGGCCTGTCGGTCCCAGTCTCTGGTTTAGGTGCGGACAGTGGCCTGTCGGTCCCAGTCTCTGGTTTAGGTGCGGACAGTGGCCTGTCGGTCCCAGTCTCTGGTTTAGGTGCGGACAGTGGCCTGTCGGTCCCAGTCTCTGGTTTAGGTGCAGACAGTGGCCTGTCGGTCCCAGTCTCTGGTTTAGGTGCGGACAGTGGCCTGTCGGTCCCAGTCTCTGGTTTAGGTGCAGACGATGGCCTGTCGGTCCCAGTCTCTGGTTTAGGTGCAGACAGTGGCCTGTCGGTCCCAGTCTCTGGTTTAGGTGCAGACAGTGGCCTGTCGGTCCCAGTCTCTGGTTTAGGTGCAGACAGTGCCCTGTCGGTCCCAGTCTCTGGTTTAGGTGCGGACAGTGGCCTGTCGGTCCCAGTCTCTGGTTTAGGTGCAGACAGTGGCCTGTCGGTCCCAGTCTCTGGTTTAGGTGCGGACAGTGGCCTGTCGGTCCCAGTCTCTGGTTTAGGTGCGGACAGTGGCCTGTCGGTCCCAGTCTCTGGTTTAGGTGCGGACAGTGGCCTGTCGGTCCCAGTCTCTGGTTTAGGTGCGGACAGTGGCCTGTCGGTCCCAGTCTCTGGTTTAGGTGCGGACAGTGGCCTGTCGGTCCCAGTCTCTGGTTTAGGTGCGGACAGTGGCCTGTCGGTCCCAGTCTCTGGTTTAGGTGCGGACAGTGGCCTGTCGGTCCCAGTCTCTGGTTTAGGTGCGGACAGTGGCCTGTCGGTCCCAGTCTCTGGTTTAGGTGCAGACAGTGCCCTGTCGGTCCCAGTCTCTGGTTTAGGTGCAGAC